AAACCCTAAAAACCCTAAACCCTAAACCCTAATAATAAAGTATATTTAAGTTAACAATCATGGCTATTAGGAGATGATTGGAGTTAATATATATAATTAGACAGCTTGTTAGCTTGGAGGTATTAAAGACTAGATTAATTATAGTCTAGTAGTCTATATATTTCTAAATAATAGTGCCTGGTTCAAACCAGAGATCTAGATTAGTATTATCTATAAGGATTAGTAGTAGGTCTGCTTTAGGATTAGATTCTATGTTTTTACTATTCTATGCGGGGTGGTAAAGATTAAAGTTATTTAGTATAAATTAATTTTTATTTTTTAATTGTTTATTGTTTAATGGGATCAGGCTTATCAGAGTATTTATAATTATTTTATTATTACTATTATATATGTTTAATAAATATAAGGTCTGCCTGTATTTACTGCGGAAGTGGAGCTCCTATATATTATATAAATACTCTATATATTATTATTTATTTAAATTAATTTTTTTAAAAATAAATATATATATCTGTACCTAATTTTTTACTATAGCCGCTAGATATAGTAACTAGTAGTTATAAGTAAGATTATATATAATATTTAAAATAGGATTTTTCCATAGTTCCTAAATTATGATAATATTTACTTTGAGAATTTAAAAATTTTATAGGAAGTATTCCATTACTATACTCCTCAACTTATTTATATTATATTAGATAATTTGTAATAGTTTTTTATTTATTATTTAAATATCTCTAGGATTTTCTTAGTTTTATAACATGGGCGGATATAATAGGATAATAAATTATTTCTTATATTATTAGCTTTATATTTTCTAGATTATATTATAATACTAGGTATAGAGTTGCTCGGTAGCTTATTTAATATTAAGCTAGAAAATATTAGATCTTATTCTAGAGACTAGAAGAGAACTTTCAAGGCCCATATTAAAATATAAAGATTAGAATTAGAATTATTATTATTAGTTTTTATTAACACTCTTGTTACTTTTCGTGTAGGTTTTGACTAGGCTAGCTATAGTCTCTACGAGATTACTAGTATCTTATATTTAAAATTATATTTAGACTTAGAGTATAGAATCTACTAGATCTTCTCTAATTATATACTAGTAGTTTTAGCTGTCTTGCTTACTAATTATATATATATAGTTCTGGCTGTTACCTTCCTCCTAACGGACTATTATCTAATCTTATAGTTAAATAATTAGCTTACTTGAAACTTAAAGATTAGTCTAACCTATAATTTTATAGAGATTATTAATATTATTACTTTCTTATTTCCACTCTTGTGGCTAATTTATTTATTTTTATTTATTATCTTTACTACTGCATGTACTTTAGCAGGTATTAAATCTATTATTTCTATATTTATTATATCTATTATATTACTATTAGTCTGCTGGATAGAAAGTATAGTAGTATTTTTAAAATTACTATTTCTAGAGATATTATCCTATGATAATTTATTTATAGAGATTATTTTTACTAAAAATAAGGCGGCTTGGAAATGGGAAGAAATAAAATAGTAATATTTAAATAATTTTTTAATAAGTCTAGCTATAATCCGCTATATTTCTTTTTTATAAACTAAGTATATCTAATTTTATATATAATGTATGTTCCTATAGTTAATATATTTTAATTCTTTAATTTTACCTGTTTTCTTCCGTGGATATTTATAAATTAGATAATATTCTGTGTAGTATACACAGACTATCTAATTAAAATAGATACTTTTTATATAGTTATATTATTAACAGTTATAGTATTAATAGATATGTAATATTTAATTATATTTAACTATAGTTAGAATCTAAAAGTCCCATATAATACTGTATTTAATTATCTTATTTACTAGAATAAAAAAAGTAAATTTAATAATAATTATTAAAGACTTTTACTCCTTGAAGCCCTAAGAAGAGATAGTTAGTTAGTATATATAAAAGATCTTAACATTATTCTCCTAGTAGTAGGTATTATCTATTAATAGAGCCTTACTAGTCCTTTCTAATTAAATAAGATCTATTAATTTAACTTACATCCTATGGATTATAATCTTTTAAATTAAATAATAAATAACTGTGTTTTTCTAGAACTTGTATACCTACAAGAAATATTACTAGATAATCTTTATCTCTATAATAAAGTAGAGATTAAAACTTAAATTATTTAATTTAAATTATTACGCCGCGATGAATTTTACAATGGCTAAAGAGAAAAAAATATCAGTCTAGTAAATCTAAATATACACTTTCTTAGTCTTTATTAGAATATTCTTTAGAAATATCCTATAGAACTAAGTCACACTCTCCAGATTACTAAGTTTAATAATAATCTAAGTCTCCTTTATCAGCTCAAAAGAGAGCATACTTATTAAGATTAATCCTAATTATATCAAGTTAAGTAGCAGCGCATCTCCCTATACAGCAATATTAGTCTAGCTGTGGATATTAGGGAAAAAAAGCCTCTTTATAATAATCTTTAAAGAATGTAAATATTCTTCTATACTCTAATAAAGTATCTTGATCTCTGTATGGAGAGCTTCATGCCCCTATTACTAGAAGTACTCTAGAAAGTTCTTCAGTAAGTCTACCAGGAATTCCTGCATGTTCTTAATATAATTAATAACTAGCTTAGGCACCTAAGAGCTCTTACTTACTTCTAGATGCCTAAATATTATATTTATATCGTGTTAGAGGTCCAAAGTATATTTCTAAGAGTATTCTGATTTCCTCGCGGAAGCGACTAAACTAGGCCAGTTAGATACTTTCAACACCATCCTCAAGATAACCAATCGATATTAGTATTATTTAATAACGACGAGAGTTACGAGAAACTTATCTAATTTTAACGCCTGTAGGGCATTGCGTTGCGGCGTGATTTCAAAAATTAGATTCCTGCACAAGTTGTTGTTTTTATCTCGTCGGCACTAGTGAGCGCCTATGGGATATCTGTTTGGTGCTTCTGCCACAAGGCAATGATCTGAGGCGCGGCCCGATCCAACTAGAGTGCCTTCTGCACCACAAAGAACCGCGCGATCTTGATCACACTGGATAAAATTAGGAGATAATTATCATATATATACCACCCATTCTTACTACAGCCTAAGACGGCCATAGTACATACTAGTATATTCTTATACTCGTGGCTCTGCTAATATTAGTTAAGTAGCTCTATATAGAACTCTAGACATACCCACTTCTATCATATTATTAGCTATAAGTATTATTTATTATTAATAGCCTTTTTTATATTATCTATCTATACTGTCTACTAGAGTATACACTATTTCTAATACTACCGCGGTATAAAATTATAAAATAGGTTTACCTAGCTACAAGTGAAAAGGGCTAGGCCCTGTCAGCCATCTGGAATTGGAACATCTATGTTCTGATCTATTTAATTCTAGACTTTGATTTAATAACACCCGAAGAAAGAATGGGAATCTCTAGAGAGAATAGAAATCTCCAGAATAGTAAAAAAGCTTACTAATATTATAAAAGAATCTCCTAAAAAGAGTTATCTATAAGTAAATCTAATTAATTTATAGATTAGATAGTTCTTTCTCCAGTAAATTTAATTTTTTTATAGATTATTATACTTTATATAGTCCATCCAGCTTCTTAGCTTGTTATAGTTTTAAATTTACTCCTTTTTTAAAGTATTTATTAGATAATAGATTAGTAATATATAATAACTATAATAAACTAATAAATATTTTTAACTACCACAGAGGCACTATCTAAGTTAATATTATTAACTAGTTAGCTAGGCGCATCGAAGAATTAATAATCTAGAGTATAGAAATGTAGTATATCATTATCTAATAAAATATAATAATAAATAATAAGATTAAAGCTAGCCTTAGATAGATTAAATAGATTATTAATATTTGATTCCTACCTTCTCAAGTATTTACTATAGTACTTTTATTTATATTAGTATTAGTACTAGTATCAGTCTAGAATTTAGTTAATATAAAAAAACTAAAGTTACTAATCCTTATAAGCTTTAATAAAAAAGATAAGAATAAATTCTTAAATTGGTTTAATAATATACAAGTAAAGATTAAGATTAACTAATAATTTATTAGTATACTAGCTAAATAAGTCTAGTATATATTTATATTTCTAGATAGGAAAGCTAAAGTAAAGATTAATTTATAGATGAGACGGCCGTTCAACACAGTAAAATGAGGTCGTATTGGTGCTAACTACTCTAGAACTTTAAGCGTAAGGAGGAAAAAAGGAAAATAAGAAGTATTGTAGGCGCTCGCTTGAAGAAAACAACAGTAAAGCAAACGAAACAAACGTAGTCACATGATCCTGAACGAGGCCCTGAACGAAACTACCATCACATCACCCCCCTGTTTAGACCTGACTGCTCTCAGTCAGGGGAACGTTGTCATCATTATAATCTGCAGCGAATTCGTTGTTCTCCGCGGCCGTGATCCATATGGGGAGTCGTTTAGGTGGTCTGGGACGGTCCGGATAACAGGTGTGAAAGTCACGTAAACAGAAAAGTGCGTTCTTAAAATTGCCAGCGGGATACCATTCGCGGTCATTTTCGTCAGAACCTACCCATTTAACGCGGTACTGCAGAGTTCCTGTCTGTAGA